CACTAAGAGCTCACATTTGAAAAGGAAAGGAAAGTAGTAGCTGGGTTGGACAAAGTGATCCCCAGATCTGACAAAGCCTGTGCCTATGCAGTAGAGAATTCTGGGGCAAAGACTGACCTATAGCCACATCCTGCTTGGGCAGACACTGGGAGCTCTGCTGAGCTGGGCCTGGGAAGGGCATGGCTTTCTCTCAAAAGCTAATGCCGGTTCTTGTAGCAGGAAGCTGCCAGCTAACTGCTAACTAAATTTTATTTTTTTTTCTTTGCCTTTTTATGCTGTACATTAGATTCCTAGAAGGATACTAATTACTGAAAGTGACTCAAGCCAAAATAAAATCTGAATATACCTATAACAAGTACAGAGGTTAAGTTAAAATAAAACCCTATAACCAAAGAAAAGCCCAGTACCAGATGGCTTCATTGGTGAATTCATTAAACATTTAAGGAATTAACACCAATACATTGCAGACACTTTTGAAAACCAGAAGAGGAATTACTTCACCATTCATTGCATGAGATCAGTATTCTTCAAAGATATATCTATACTAATAAAAAGGGTAATATTCTAATTAGACCAGATAGACTGGATGTCTTCTGGACGTCCTTCTGGAAAAAGCCACAGTGGTGGGGACCAAGGCAGAGGCAGTTAGGGGCCATCAGGCAGGCAGGCAAAGTGGTTAGGGGAGATCAGGCCAGCAGGGGAGAGCAGTTAGGAACAATCAGGCTGGCAGGGCAGAGTGGTTAAGGGTGATCAGGTCAGCAGGGGAGATCAGTTAGGGGTAATCAGGTTGACAGGGGAGAGTAGTTAAGGGTGATCAGGTCAGCAGGGGAGAGCGGTTAGGGGCATTAGGCAGGCAGGCAGGCAGGCAGGCAGAGGTGGTTAGCAGTGATCAGGCATATCGGATATCCCCCAAGGGTTCCCAGATTGGAGAGGGTGCAGGCCAGGCTGAGGGACACCCACCCCCCACCACCGTGCATGAATTTCGTGCACTGGGCCTCTAGTTTGTGTATATGAGATTCTGTCTTAGTGAATAAAAATGATACATCTTTTTTAGACTGTCCTGCTTTGGTTTAAAAAACAACGAATCAAAACCTCACTCTCCATCCTCCCCACTTTATATTAAAAGGCAGGAAAAGTCAATTTAACAACTTTTTAAATTTCTCACATATTTGGAATTTTGGATACATTATGGACAAATATCAAGTGTGGACCAAAAAACATTCATGTTATTCCCATCAGATTTAAAGAAGACATATTTGTGGTTATTTCTGGTACCCATTTGTTTTCTTTGACTACTTAAAAGACTCAATTCAAATTTCCTAGCTTCAGGAAAAGGGCTGTTTCCTTTTGAATGTTCTCCAACTGGTTTTCCTAGCTGTTTACCTTCTGCTGCCTGTTATTTTAATTGTCTGATTGCTTTCTCTTTCTTTTTCATTCTTGATTTTCTTTATTTCACAGTCTCATGATGTTGCCTGAGAAAAGTCGTTTTGTGCTGTGCTTCCTGTTTTGCAGCTTTTGGTCTCATTGTCATTTGTTTTCTAGGTGACTGTTTTTGACATTGGCTTATACTTTGCTCTTGTGGTTTCACATTCTAGGTGGCTTCTGGTGCGGCTTGAGACCAGGGACTTGTTTTTTGCTCAGAGTTTTTGAGTCTAAAGGTCGTTCCAATATGGGTTCCTCGCTGGGCACTTCACTAACAAATGCTGGATAAGTGACCAAGTCAATTGGAAATACTGTGTGAAAATTTCTTCAGGGAATAGGCACCATAATGCAGAACCTTGTACCTGTTTATTAACACATAGGCTGGTGGCACATGTAATAGTTACATTGAGCTCCTTCTCACCTGGGCACCAAGAAAAGTATGTAAAATTAGAGGCTACTGTTTTGGAAGTAAGTTTGTTTTTTAACACTCAATACTTCTCTTTATCTTAAATTTAGGATCACATAGGAAGAAGCAACAAGCAAATTGTTTCCTTGAAAAGAGTTTGGCTACAAGGCCAAACTCATCATAAATGGGGTCATTTTAGTCCTTGCACTATAGCACTTTCTTCATTTGTTGCAAGTAGAAGAGTGTTTGTCCTCCACAGCAGGAAACCACTGTGTGTTGTCATCTGTACTAGCTATTGTTAACTCAGCAGCAAGTCTTCTACCCTATATCTCTGAATCTGTCCTGGCCCTAGACACTTTTGTGGCTAAAGTTTCATGATGTTACTGAACTTAAGGGTTTCCCGCTTGGGACGTTCTATTTAAGAACAAAAAGTGGTTGTCACAAGGTAGTTTATTTCCGTTAGCAAGTAAAAGAGAGGGGCGATTCACATCCAAAACTCTGTCTCTCCAAAGGGAGGCATAGCCAGTGCTTTTATACACTATTTGGTCAATTAGCATTGATTTCTTCTTGGCAGTTGGCTACAATTGTGGTATTGGGTTGGGTTCCTGTGAAGCTCATTCCTCCTGAAGCTATGCTTGAAAAATATTGTGCTACATTTAAACTCTTAGCAAGAATTCACGGCAGAGTGTGGCTTGCTGTGTGCCATCTACACTTTCTAGGCCCTGGTTTCCTCCTTTGTCAGAAATAGACAGTCTCTCCTGTTTAAAGATCTCCCAGAACCAATGTGAGTGGACTGAGTAGGAGGCTGTTCATAGCTTTGTAGAGATATGACCCTTCGTGTTGCCAGTGTTCTGTGAGGCTGATTCTCAACTCATCCAGGATGATATCTCCCCCTGACCAGGCTGCTGCTCTTAGAACTTGTATGAAGAGACTAAATTACCCCTGGTGAGCGAGGGCTGGCCAGGGGTGAGCAGAGACTGAAATTGTCCCTTCTTGAGCAAGGTCATCTATCCTCTGAGTAGAAAAGGAGTGAGTGAATGTTGGGACCAGGAGACAGACAGGTGGGGAACATTATCTGCTCTTCCCATAACAAAGGAGATTTGCTTCAGCAATGGGTAGCAAAAAAGGGGGGAAATGGGCATGTACCCCTTGCTCTGCAATCCTTCAGTGATAGTGTCCTGAGTGTCTTCCATACCCAGAAAAGTTCCTATTTAGACATAGATTTTTGACTTTGGAGGACAATCAACGGTGTCTTTTCTCAGATTCTGATGACGGTTTAGGGAGTCTTGATACTGCTGATAGGGTAGTGCAGAAGATATTTCTGTTACCTTTCCATTGGAGTTCCAGCTCAATTCCATTGTGGCCTGAGAACATAGCCCATATGATTTCAATTCTCTTCAATTTGTCTGAGATTTGTTTTATGGCTCAGGATATGGCTTGTCTTGGTATATGTGCACCTGAAAAAATGTCTTCTGCAAATATTAACTTCTACAAATATCAATAGATCCCTTGATTAAGGTATTAATGGAATTCTAGATCCTTACTCATTTTTTTTTATGTAGCTGTTCTGTCAATTGTTAAGAGGGTGGTGAAGTCTGTAACTATAATAGTGGATTTTTCTATTTATCCTTTCAGTTGTCAGTTTCTCTTTCACATATTTCCCATGTCTGTTGCTTGGGAAAACACATCTGTCTGCTTGGTGGTGTGACCTATGTATTGATATATAATCTTCCTCTCTGTCTCTGGTAATTTTCTTTATTCTGAAGTCTAATTTATTTGCTATCAATACAGCCATTTCTTCTTCCTTTTGCATGAGTAATATTTGCACCACTTACCTTTTCTATCCTTTAATTTTCAACATGTTTCTATCATAATATTTGAAAGGACTTTTCTATAAGCAGCATATGGTTGGTTCATGTGTTTTAATCTACTCTCCCAATCTCTGTCTTTTAACTGATGTGTAGGCAGCAAACACACTCTCTTCCCTAATGGTCTGGATGGCAGCCATAGTAGGGTGTGCCTGTCCTCTGGAATCCCTGGATGCTCCTTCCTACATTCCCGATCACCTCAATCACTGTCCCTTGGGGATTCTTTGAGCTCCAATCCTACCACACCAAAACGCAATAATCAAGATGCAGTTTCATTGCTCACACTAGACACTTCGCTATTCTTTTTTTCTCATTTATTTTCATCAGTGACCATCTCCTTCATCAGCAAGAGTTTTCTTGCAAAAAGATATTGACAAGTGGACAAGACCAAAATCAAGATTCCTTATCAGTGCCTCTGCTGGGATCTGTGCAGAACCCTTGGACCACAGTGTCCTTGGCAACCAAGGGAATGCCAAGTCTCAGCAATTGGCACTGGCGTTCCTCTTCGTGTTCCCAGAGGTTTCTGGGCAGGGCTTGTGGGCCTCTTGTTCCAATATGTACTCAGCTATTGCAGTTATTTTTCCCTGTTACATGTCTCGTTAGTGATGGGAAGGCATCAAAGACCTGGGAATCACTGTCTGAGAAGGCACTGGGTGGAGGATACTGTAGGAAAGAGATCTGGAATTACCCAGCAGTATTGAGTTTGTATATGAAGGTGGAGATGCTGAGACAGAAGTGTGGGTGAACAGGTGAGCCATGCTAACCTGGCTCATTTTATCTGGGTCAGAGAGTGAACTCCCCCAGGTCTGCACGGAACTCTTTTCCTCACCTTGTATCACCAATACTTAGTCCACAAAGACCTGTTTGCCCTTTCTTTTGAGATTGAAATAAAAATTTCCAAATCTTCTATTTTTAAAAATTTACCCCTGAGTTGAAAAGCATACTCTCACCCTATGAGTGTGTCAGCCAGTGAGAAAACTCCTCTTTGGGAATACATTTTCCACAGGGCCTCAGTGGCTCCTAGAGACTCAAGTCTCTGGTTGAAGTTTTCTTGGACTTGTAGAAGACTCTGCATTCACACTGTGAAGGGATCTGAATGGAGATGGAGGGGGATGCATCCCTTCTTGGGACAGATGGACAGTTCAGTGTCTTGTCTTCTTGTGGGTACTCACCCCAATGTGTGTGTGCACTTGGGTGCGTGGTTTTTGCAGAAGGGGTTAAGAATGACAGAGCAGTGTCTTTGTTCAATGGCCATATAAGCAGATGAACAAACATCTATAAATATTGATTTTCGTTAACACAAGTGAATGTCCAAGGCTTTATTCATGCAATTCAGATTCAATTGAAATAAATGGGTCTGGACTGAGGCTTTGTGTTGGTTCTGGCCCTTGGTCCTCTGAGGAGACCAGGGATGATTCCAGGACCTGGGACAGCAGCCTGAGGTCAGTGGAAAACAGGCAAGAGCAATACTTGTTGGGCTCCAGTAAGAAGAGCTCAGGGAGGGCCAGGTCCTAGGGGCAGGTTTGAGGGGAGATGGGAGCGGGCAGGATTTTTGTCTTTGGGTTGATAGATTACTGCCAGTGAGGGACACAAGGAAAGCCTGCGGGCCCTGGACGCACAGACACCAGGGAAGAGTGTGATTGTCAGGTGATGGTTCCAAGTCCTACTTATATCCACTCTGTCACTCAGGACGGACCTCGTCCACGGCCTGAGACCAGCGTCTGGAGAGCACTACACAAAGCAGGAACAGGACGCCCAGAAGCATGGCTGTGCGCAACTTTGAAGCCTTCACCCACCCACACAGCCGGCCCAGCAGCCCGCGCCCTTGTCGCCTCTGCACGGGGCTTGCCAGCCTCTCTGCCACCCTTCTCAGCTTCTCCTCGGGGCTGGAGAAGGCCAGCTCCTGCAACAGGCGATACACATCGTTGGAGTAGGGAACACCCGCGTGGTCCCGCACCAGGCGCTCTACCAGCACTAGCAGCTCCTGCACCTGGTCCTCCAGTTCCCCACCCATTGCCCGGTTGTCGAAGGCGCACACGCGGCCCCCGCACTGGGCCACCAGAGCCCGCAGGGCACGGTTGTCCGTGTCGCGTACGTACTCCTGCAGGGAGCCGCCGGCCAGGTCCTCCTTGCGCGTAAACAGCAAGATGGTGCGCTTCACCACGTTGTCTCCAAAAAGGTCCTTGAGCGCACTCACGGCCTGCTGGTCCTGCGCAGTGAAGCGGCCCAGCTGAGTCACTAGGAGCAGCGCGTGAGGCCCAGGAGCCGACAGCAGGTAGCAGCGGGCTCGCTCCTGGCACCCCGGGTCTGTCTTGGGGACTAGGGAGCTAAAAAGGTCTGGGGTGTCCATGACTTCCACGTGCCACCTGTCCCACTTGAAGCTCCCCACCTCGCAGGTTCTGGTCACCGAAGTGGCTGCGAGTCTGGAGAGGAACCGCCTGTGGCCCAGGATGCTGTTCCCGGTGGCGCTCTTCCCAGCCCCTGTCTTCCCCACCAGGATGAGCCTCAGCCCGGGCTCCTGCAGGGCCTGTGTGGTGTCTTTGGAACCTGGAGGACAAGTCATCTGTGAGCTTCCAAACCTTAAATGCAATGTATCCTGGTTGTCTGGACCTGGAAGCCCTTGGAACAACAGTGTCTTAACTCTGCTTTTCCAACCAAAGCTTTACTGATCTCAGGAGGATCTTCACCATCTATCCCTGTGACCCTGGCTTCACCATGTGCACCTGTAGATGCTCAACACTTGGAGGGCATTTCTCTAGGGGATCCCCTTCATCATTCCAGACACGACCTCACCTTCATTATCCCTGGTGGTCCACACTCTGCAGAGCTGTCTTTATTTGAGGCTTCAGTGGCCTCTGCTATACTTCTCCCAGATTCCAGCCCAGGAAGATGATCAGGAAGGGGCAGTAGCTTGGGGGTGAAGGGCTATCTGGAGTCCCAAACAGTCTGGGTTTGACTCATAGACCCGCCATTGGCCAACTGTGCCACCTTGGAAGGTACTTAATCTAAGTAATAAACCTTTGCTTAAAAACGGGAATAACAGTAACAAATTTCTTCTGGGGTGTTGAGAGGATTGGATGAGATCACCTCCTTCCTTCTTCCTTCTGCCTGCTAATCCTGCTGCCTGCTAATGAGACACCTGTTTAACCCTCCATCCTGGTTCTCTAACATTCTACCTGGTGAGTCACATTCCATTTATTGCATGATCTGGTACCCTCTACAGCCTCTTCTGTGGAGATCAGAGTAGGTTTATTATACTCATTTTATAGTTGGGAAATGAAGGCGTAGTCAAGTTCATATCTCTGAAATGGGCAGGGGCAAAGACCAAGCTAAAATGCCTATCTCAGGGCTCTTGCTTTTTCACTCCAGACACCTCAGAGAGCCTTTTGGGGTTGTCTGTTCAGTTCTGAGTTCACCCATTCCCCTCATTACCCAGAACTCACACCTGGGGGCAAGTATGCAGTGCATTTATTCTTACCATAGGCACTTTCTTCATCTCTTGCCATCTTCCGTCCTCCCATGCTTACCTGAAAGAGTCCCAAACACAATTTGTTCATTCATTCATTCATTCATTCATTCATTCCTCAAATAGGTATAACAAACTACATTATATCAGGCCAAATCCAAAGAGGTAGTGACATCACAGTGAAAAAATTGTGGTTCCTGTTTCCCCTGAATGTCAGAATAGAGCAGTGATGGCGAACCTATGACATGCATGTCAGAGGTGACATGTGAACTCATTTTTTTGGTTGATTTTTCTTTGTTAAATGGCATTTAAATATATAAAATAAATATCAAAAATATAAGTCTTTGTTTTACTATGGTTGCAAATATCAAAAAGTTTCTATATGTGACACAGCACCAGTGTTAAGTTAGGGTTTTTCAAAATGCTGACACGCTGAGCTCAAAAGGTGCGCCATCACTGGAATAGAGGGAAGGACTTTGGAAGGGCCTGGGCTGGGTTTGGACGGATACTGTGAGAGCGTTGGTGACCTTGGTTTTGCCTTTTCAAGGACGTCAAATGCAAAGGGCAGAGGGGAGATTGTAACATTCTATGTCAGTGAGAAAATTTTAGATATTAAATTTTCCCAGGTAATTCTATGTTAGTGATCAAAGCTGTAGATACTATGTCTTTTCAGGAGATTCAGCAGCCTAGGGAGACTTTGGAAAACCATGAGAAGTGGAAAATTTGGCAAGGACAAGGGAAACACTTAGGTAGTTGGCCTGGGAGACAGACAAGAAGATAATTGGAATTTTTGTTTTGGAAATTGGAGAAGAAACCTATGTTCCAGGTGATCTGCAGCCTCTGACTCTGCTCTCAGGAGTCAAATCACTGTCCTGTCTCAATGTGTTTAAATATGTTCGGTGTCCTGGAAAGATTGGGACACGCCCCCACATCAATTCCTGATATCCTGCCCCCAAGCTGAGACTTCTACAAGTAAAGTGGTTCTAGCCAATCAGTCAGTATTTAATACAATCAAACACTCTGTGCTCACTGAGTCCCTGTGCACAGTGCAGTCTGTCCTCAGGCTGCCTCTCCAGCCTCAGGACAATGAAGGCCCTCAATTACATGCTCCCCAGAACAGAATATGGCCTTTCCCAGCTGCCTTGTGCTCTCAGGCCTGTGATTGTTCAGCCTCTCCGACACTTTGTCTGAGTCCTTTCTGTACTTTTCCTTCCATTTAAAATTCCACCTCTTCATGTTGTCCACCTGGTTACCACAAGTTATTGTGTTCTCTCCAGTTGGCACTGCACAAGGAGAAGCAAAGGAAAAGGCAGGCTGAATACCTTGTCTCTTGCCAAAAGACAGATGATGGGCTGTCCTGGTCCTCAATTCAAAGGTGTTCATGTATCTGCAGGAACTCCCCTCACGCCCAAAGACTTAAGTAATGTTCATTCCCATGGAAATCAACACAATCCCATGACTAAAACCAGAGCAGAAATAGAGATAAAGCTACAGAGGCCGTGAAAAGACAAGACATTTAGCTAATGTAAGGAATTCTGGCTATAGGAGATGAGAAGGTACAAGGAACTCACAATATTATGGGATTCCAGGAAAAAGAAATAGAGAAACTAAGACAGTTAAGTTAAAACAAGGCCAAACAGTGTGGGCAATTTACATCCAGCTAGAGGCCCAGTGCACGAATCTTGTGCACTGGGGAGGGGTCCCTAAGCCCAACCTGCACCCTCTCACAGTCTGTGACCCCTCAGGGAATGTCCACCTGCCAGCTTATGCCCAATACCCCCAGGGGCATCGGGCCTAAGCCAGCAGTCAGACATCCCTCTCGCAGTCCGGGGCTCTCACAGTCCTGGACCCATCGCTCCTTACCGCCCACCTGCAGCAGAGGAGGGAGAGGCTCCCATCACTGCCACTGTGCTCACCTGACTTCTGGCTGAGCAGCACTCCCTCTGTAGGAGCACACTGACCACAGTGAGTGTCTGCCCCTGGTGGTCAGTGCACATCATAGCAACTGGTTGGTCCACCATTTGGTCAATTTGCATATTATGCTTTTATTATATAGGATATGTCTTGTTTTCTTCTCCATTAAGCTACCCTATGTCTTTTTATTGGAGCATTTAATCCATTTACATTTAATGTTATTATTGGCCAGAGGCCCAGTACACAAAAATTTGTGCACTGGGGGGGGCGGGGGAGGGCAGGTGCCTCAGCCCGGCTGGTGCCCTCTCACTGTCTGGGACCCCTCAGAGGATGACCACCTGCTGGCTTAGGCCCGCTCCCCAGGGGATTCGGCCTAAGATGGCAATCAGACATCCCTCTGGCAGCCCGGCCGACCTTGGGGGATGTCCACTTGCCAGCGGGGAGCAGGCCTAAACTGCAGTCAGACATCCTTAGCACTGCTGAGGAGGCAGGAGAGGCTCCCACCACCACCACTGTACTGGCAGCCATCAGCCTGGCTTGTGGCTGAGCAGAGCTCCTCCCATGTGAGAGCGCCCTGACCACCAGAGGGCAGCTCCTGCATTGAGCATCTGCCCCCTGATGGTCAGTGTGTGTCATAGTAACCAGTCATTCCCAGTCCTTCTGCTGTTAGTGTCAGTTTGCATATTACCTGTTTACTATATAGGATAGAGGCCTGATGCATGGGTGGGGGCTGGGTGCTTTGCCCTGAAGGGTGTCCCGGATCAGGGTGGGGGTCCTGCTTGGGTGCCTGGCCAGCCTGGGAAAGGGGCTGATGGCTGTTTTCAGCTGGTCACACCCCCTTCAAGATGAGGGTCCGCACTGGGGTGCCTGGCCAGCCTGGATGACGAGCTGATGGCTGTTTGCAGCTGGTCACACACCCTTCAGGGTGGGGGTCCCCACTGGGGTGCCTGGCCAGTCTGGGTGAGGGGGTGAGGGCTGTTTTTAGGCTGGTGGGTGACTGAAGCTCCCAGCCTCTCCTTTTTTTTTTTTTTATTCTGGGATTTATTTACCTTCTATAGCTGTCACTGGAGCTGAGAGCCGGCTCCAGCTCTGAGGCTGTTGCTGGCTGAAAGCAGGTATCTGGATTTGTTTAGATTCTATAATTGAAACTCTGCTGCCATCACTGGAGCTCTAAGCTCTGAGCCCACTGGCGGCTGAAAGCAGGTACCTGGGGTTTGTTTAGGTTCTATAATTGCAACCTTGTTACATCCAGAGCTCAGAGCTGGGCTGTGGCAGGTGGGGAACCTTGGCTTCCTCCATCACTGGAGCAAGCAAGCCTCATGTTTGCTTCAGCTGCCTGGCTGCCGCCCGCCATCTTGGCTGGCAGTTAATTTGCATATCTCACTGATTAGCCAATGGGAAGGGTAGCGAAGTTATGGTTAATTACCATGTTTCCCTATTATTAGATAGGATAGGCACTTGTTTGTTGCCATTTTTATTCTTTATGCCTATGTTCCTTTTTCCCTTTCTATTTCTTTTTTTTACAACAGTCCTTTTAGCATTTCTTGCATTGCTGGTTTGATGATAATAAACTCCACTGGCATTTTTTAGTCTGCAAAACTCCTAATTTCAACTTAAATTTTGAATGATAACCTTGCTGGATAGAGTAGTCTTGGATTCAGTCCCTTTCTTTTTATTATTTTGTATACTTCATGACACTCCCTTCTGGCCTGAAGTGTTTCTATTGAGAAATAAGCTGATAGTCTAATGGGAGTTCCCTTTTAGGTAACTTTCTGTCTCTCTCTTGCAGAGGCCTGGTGCATGAAAATTCATGCACTGGAGGGGGTGTCACCCAGTCTGCCCTGCTCTCTCTCACAGTCCAGGAGCCCTCAGGGATGGGAGGTGATCGGGCGATCAGGGGAAGGTGACACCCCATCACATCTCTGCTGCTGCCATTGCCAGCAGCATAAGCCTTGGCCAGCCCTGGTTACCTGAGCCTCAGGCGGCCCTGGGTGGCTGGTCAGCTGCCATCTGAGGCTTTCCTGCACCTCAGGTGTTGGCTGGGCAGCCATCATCCTAGGCTTGCCTGTGCCTTGGGCCCCTGGGTGGCTGGGCAGCTGTCATCCGAGGCTTGCCTGTGCCTCGGGCCCGCCCTGGGTGTGTGGGGGGCAGAGGGGACTGGGGGACTCCTGAGGCAGGTGTGTGGCAAGGCCGGGCCCACCTGGAGGCAGGCCCAACCTTGCCATGCTCCTGCTGCCCTGGCGGGACTGAGGGGACTGGGTGCCGCCATCTTGTGGCTGTGGGCATCACCATCTTTGAGGGCAGGACAGTCAATTAGCATATTCCCTCATTATTGGCTGTGGGCACTGCCATATTTGAGGGCAGGGCAGTCAATTAGCATATTCCCTCCTTATTGGTTGTGGGCACCACCATCTTTGAGATGGTGTGAGGGTCAATTAGCATATTTCCTCTTTATTAGATAATATATATATTACAAGAGACCTACCTCAGAACAAATGACTCACACAGACTGAAAATGAAGGAATGGAAAAAAATTTTCCAGGCCAATGGAAAAAAATATAAATTTGGGGTAGCAATACTCATATCAGACAAAAGAGACTTCAAAGTGAAGGCCATAACAAGAGCTAGGGAAGGCCACTTCATAATACTAAAGGGCTATATACAACAAGAGGATATAACTCTGATAAATATGTATGAACCCAATATAGGAGCACCTAAATATATAATTAAACTTCTGGAGGACTTAAAAGGAGAGATTGACAGCAATACAATCATAGTAGGGGACTTTATTACTCCAAACACTTTATTGATCTTTTAGTAAAAAAATCAACAAGGAAACAGCAAACCTAAATGACACACTAGTTCAGTTGGAATTAATTGACTTTTCAGAACATTTCACCAAAGCTACAGAATATACATTCCTCTTAAGTGCACATGGGACATTTTCAATGATAGGCCACATGTTTGGACACAAGCTAAATTTCTACAAATTCAAGATTAAAATCATGTCAAGCATATTCTCAGATCACAATGTCATAAAATTAGAAATCAGCTATAATAAAAACACTAAAAAGCATTCAAACACATGGAGTCTAAATAGCATGCTGTTAAAAAATGAATAGGTTACCAAAGAGATCATCAAGTAGAAATAAAAGAAGAAATAAAAGACATCCTGGAAACAAATAAAAATGAACATACAGCAACCCCAAATGTATAGGACTCAGCAAAAGCAGTCCTGAGAGGAAAGTTCATAGCACTACAGGCCTCCTCAAAAAATAAGAAAAACTTCTAATAAGCTATCTAACCCAACAACAAATAATTAGAAAGAGAACAACAAGAAAAACCCAGAGTAAGTAGAAGGAAGAAAATAATAAAGATCAGAGCAGAAATAAATGACATAGAGACCAAAAAACCAAACCAAAACAAAACAAAATAATACAAAAGATCAATAAAACCAAGAGCTAGTTTTCTGAAAGAATAAACAAGATTGATCAAGTTCTTGCCAGACTCACTATGAAACAAAAAGAGAGGACTCAAACAAAATCAGAAATGAAAGAGGCAAAGAAACAACTGACACCACAGAAATACAAAGGATCATAAAAAAAAATTACTATGAATGACTGGGAAACCTGGATGAAAGGAGCATATTCTTAGAAAAGGACAATATTCCAAAAAATCAATCAGGAAGAATCAGAAAACCTGAATAGTGTGATAACTACTGATGAAATTGAATCTAATAATTTTTAAAAAAACACCTTCCAGTAAACAAAAGCCCTGGTCCAGACTGGACTTCACAGGGGAGTTTTACCAAACATTCAAAGGAGAAATAATACCTATCCTCCTCAAATTATTCCCCAAAATTCAAGAGACAGGAGCACTTCCAAGCTCTTTCTATGAGACAGTATTATCCTAATTCCAAAACCAGACAAAGACATTACAAAGAAAGAGAATTATAGGATATAGAATTATATCCCTGATGAACAAAGATGCTACAATCCTCAACTAAATAATATCAAATCAGATCCAGCAACACATTAAAAAGATTTATTCCAGGATGTAAGGCTAGTACAGTATTCACAAATCAATAACTGTGATACATCACATAAACAGATTACAAGACAAAAAGCATACGATCATATCAATTGATGCAGAAATAGCATTTGACAAAATTCAACACTTTTTAAAATAAAAACTCTCAGCAAAATGGGAATAGAGGGATCATACCTTAACATAATAAAAACCAGATATCACAAACCTGCAGCCAACATCATACGCAATGGGAAAAAATGAAATAAAAATAAAAAAGGAACAAGACAGGGGTGCTCACTTTCACTACTCTTCTTCAACATAGTACCAGAAGTCTTAGCTATAGTGATCAAACAAGAACAAGTTAGAGACATCCAAATTGGAATGGAAAAAGTCAAACTATCATTATTTGCAAATGACATGATATTGTACATAGAAAACCCTAAAGACTCCATAAACAAACTAGTAGATTTAATAAATAAATTCAGCAACATAGCAAGCATACAAAATTAATGCAGAAATTGATGCCATTTTTATACAACAATATGGAACTCTCAGAAAGAGAAACTAAAAAAGCAATCCCTTTTACCATTGCAAGAAAAAATTTAAGATACTTAGGAAAAATTTAACCAAGTTGGTAAAAGACCTATACTCAGAAAATTATAGGACATTGAAAAAGAGATAGAGGAAGATATAAACAAGTCGAAGAATATACCATGCTCATGGATTGGTAGAATCAACATAATTAAAATGTCTATACTATCCAAAGCAATTTATAGATTCAATGCAATCCCTATTAAAATACAAATGACACATTTTACAGATCTAGAATGAATACCCATAGAATTTACCATTATATGAAAATAAAAACACACCCCTGAATAGCGCAGCCATCTTGAGAAAGAACAACAAAGTTGGAGGAGTCACAATACCAGATATCAAGTTATACTACAAAGCCACTGTGCTCACGACAGCCTGGATCTGGCACAAGAACAGACATATAGACCAATGGAACAGAACAGAGATCCCAGAAATTGGCCCAAGCCACTATGCTCAATTAATATTTGAAAAAGGAGGCAAGAGCATACAATGGAGTAAAGATAGTCTCTTCAGTAAGTGCTATTGGGGAAAATGGACTGATACATGCAAAAAATGAAACTAGACCACCAATTTACACCATACTCAAGAATAAACTCAAAATGAATAAAAGACTTAAATGTAAGAGGTGAAACCATAAAAACCTCAGAAGAAACCATAAGCAGCAATCTCAGATATCTATGATAGCAATTTGTTTACCAATACATCTCTTAGGACAATGGAAACTAAGAAGAAAATAAACAAATGGACTATGTCAAAATAAAAAGTTTCTGTACAGCAAAAGAAGCCATCAACAAAATGACAAGAGAGCCCAGTTCACGGGGAACAGATTTTTTCAATAACACATTTGATAAGGGGTTAATCTTCAAAATATATAAGAATCTCATACAACTTAACAAAAGGAAGACAAAGAATCCAATTGAAAAATGGGCAAAGAACCTAAACAGACACATCTCTACATATAGCCAAGAGATATATGAAAAAATGCTCAAAGTCACTAATCATCCAAGAGAAGCAAATCAATATGACAATTAGCTATCACCTCACACATGTCAGAATGGTTATCATCAACAAATCAACAAATGGCAAGTGCTGGCAAGGATGTGGAGAAAAGGGAATCCTTGTCCACTTCTAGTGGGAATGCAGACTGGTGCAGCCACTGTGGCAAACAGTATGGCGTTTCCTCAAAATATTAAAAATTGAACTCCCATTTGACCCAGTGATCTCATTTCTAGGAATATATCCTAAGAAACCAGAAACACCAATCAGAAAGAGTATATGCACCCCTATGTTCATAGCAGTTTAATTTACAATAGCTAAGATCTGGAAATAGCCCAACTACCCATCAGAAGATGAGTGGATAAAAAAACTGTGGTACATTTACTAGTACACAATATATTACTCTGCAGTTATAAAATAGAAAGAACTCTTACCTGTTGCAACAGCATGGATGGACCTGGAAAGTATTATGCTAAGGGAAATAAGCCAGTCAGAGAAAGATAAGTATCACTTGGTCTCACTCATATGTGGAATCTAATGATTAGAATATTTCCAGATACATAGAAAGGTGGAACAGACTGTTGAACCTCAGAGGGAAGGTGGGGGAGGGTGGAGGGGTGGGAAGAGATCAACCAAACAACTTGTATGCATATACGCATACCCTATGGACACAGACAACAGGGTGGTGAAGGCCTGAGGTGGAGTGCAGGGGTGGGCTAGAAGAGGACATTGGGGGAGTAAAGAGGACATATGTAATACTTCTAACAATAAAGATAAAAATAAAAGAAAAAGAAAGAAAGAAATCTCTTTGTCTTGTCGGATATGCAGGTGGGGAGTCTTTGCTGTCTTCTAAAGCATGTTTTGGCTCCTGCAGGAGAGTGAGCAGATCCCTTTCTTCCTTATTAGGGGAGTAGGTTGGGAGGGGGCTTAGTCTGAGCAAGAGAGTGGGCATCTAGGCTGGAGGAGATGCTTGCCACTGCTCCTCAAGCTGCTGAGTGTGAAACTCAGGCATCCTTACACACCAGGAGTGTGGAGTTACTCTTTCTACTAGTAGATCCCACTGCCCTTCCTGGTACCTACTAGAACGGAGGTGCTCACTCAGCGAGCTTCTTGGAGGCCCTGAATTCTTCCAGTTCCTCACAGCTCCTATTCCCTGGCCCACTCCCTTCCCCTGTTGGCGCTCACCTTTCCTGTAGAATCAGTGACAGGCTCTGAGATTGGCACAGAAGGCCCTGACCTACTGCTGTCCTCCAGTTGTGAGTGCAGCAGGCTCTTCCTCCCAGCACATGGGGAAGTGTCCTGCCTCTCAGACCTCAGAGGCAGGAAGCCCAGGGAGGGGGGCCCAAGGGTGACAACTTAAAGAGACAGGAACATTCACCAGTGAGGCAGTGGGATGGGAAATTTCCAAGGGGAAACCCAGCTTTGGACTGCAGTGATGTTCTCAGAAGGTCCCTGTGACACCAGCACTTGTCCCCTCAGGGGCTATAACCTCAGAGGAGAAGAGCATTTTAGGTTTCTGAGGCCTGTTTTCACTTCTAGCCTTGATCACTAATCTTAACCGCTTTTGCCTTTTAGGTCTTTTCCTATAAAATGGACTCTTGGGAGCCTCTTTCCCTGGGACAGTGCCACGAAGGTGGTCCTGGTGCCAGGAATCATCTGCGAAGTCTCCTGGTTCTCAAAGGAAAGGAAGGCCTTTTCACTATTAAAAATGGGAGAACAGGGAGAGGATGAACACTTTCTTTCAGGGGCTTACTCTAGCCATCTCTGTAGTTCTCTCCCACCAGAGGGTCATGAAAAGGTGAGGAAAATAGCCAGTCACTGTGTGGAGGGAGGAAGTGGGGCTATAACAGGATTATGCTGATAAGGGGCATGACCTGGTTAGGTCATTAACAAGGATGTGGCCATGCCTCACTCACTCACACTCTCTTAGTTGACTTTTCCCATATATAGTGATGGGTTTCACTTAGTGTGAAGCTAAGGGGCTGGGGTTTAATTTCCCCCATTCGTGCCAGCTTCTTATCTCTAGTGAAGAATACAACTCCCACTAACTCCAACTAGTTTTCCCCCAGCTTTCTTGAGATATAATTGACAGGTAACATTGTGTAACTTTAAAGTATGTGACATGTTGATTTGACATATTTATATATTAGAAAAAATAATCACCACCTTAGCATTTGCTAACACCTGCATCAGGTCCCATATTTACGATATGTTTTTTGTGGTGAGAACATTTAAGATCTATTCTCTTAGCAACTTTCAAGTATATCATACAGGATTATTAACTACTAGAGGCCTCATGCACAAAATTCGTGCAAGAGTAGGCCTGCCTTCCCCAGCTACCAGTACTGGGTTCCTTCTGGCACCCAGGACCCGGTTTCCCTCCAGCCAATGGCAGGCACCCAGGACCTGGACTTCCCTACAGCCCTGGCATCATCAGGAAGGACCTCTGGAATGATGTCCAATCTAATATTATACTTTTATTATTATAGATTATTATAGACTAGAGGCCTGGTGCATTAAATTTGTGTACTGGGGGAAGGTGTCCCTCAGCCCAGCCTGAACCCTCTCCAATCTGGGACCCTTTGGGGGATGTCTGACTGCTGGTTTAGGCCAGCAGTCAGACATCTCTCTCACAATCTGGGACTGCTGGCTCCCAACTGCTCAGCTGCCTCTTGCCTGATTGCCCCTAACTGCTTCTTCCTGTCATCCTGATCACCCCCTAACCACTCCTCTGTCAGCCTGATCAATGCTGCTCCCCTGCCACCCTGATCACCCCCAACTGACCTCCCCTGCTGGCCAGATTGCCCCCAACTGCCCTCCCCTTCTGGCCCGGTCGCCCCTAACTGTCCTCCCCTGCTGGCCATCTTGTGGCTGTGGGAGTCGCCATCTTTGAGGGCAGGGCAGTCAATTAGCATATTCCCTCCTTATTGGCTGTGGGTGCCACCATTTTTGTAATGGCATGAGGGTCAATTACCATATTCCCTCTTTATTAGATAGAATAATCACTATGCTGTGTATTTGATCTCCAGAACCTATGCATCTCTAACTGGAATTTTGTACTGTTTAACTAACATCTCCCCATTTCCCCCATCCACTAGCCCCTGGTAATCAGGGTGTGATTCCCAGTCAGGGCACATGCCTGGATTGTGGGCTCGATCCCCAGTAGGGGGTGTGCAGGAGGCAGCCAATTGATGATTCTCTCTCATCATTGATGTTTCTCCCTATCTCTCTTTCTCTCTCTCTTTCATTCTCTCCCTTCCTCACTGAAATCAATAAAGATATACTTTAAAAAAGTGATATCATATAGTACTAGTAGCCCGGTGCATGTCATTTGTGCACATTAAAAGGGAATTAATTGCCCTAACCTGTTTGGCTCAGTGGATAGAGCATCAGCCTTCGAATTCAAGGGTCCTGGGTTCAATTCCGGCTAAGGGCATGTACCTTGGTTGCGGGCACATCCCCAGTGGGGAGTGTGCAGGAGGCAGCTGATCAATGTTTCTCTCTCATGGATGTTTCTAACTCTCTATTCCTCTCCCTTCCTCTCTGTAAAAAATCAATAAAATATTAATCTTTTTAAAAAGGGAATTAATTAGTGGAAATATTTTAATATTGCTATTTGCCCTTTCTCCATAATAGAAGTGTGATAGACGAAAGGAAATTAGTAAAATATATATGAAAATAATATATAAGTTTATTAATAAATAAACAGTAACAAAAGGATATAACAACAGAGGCATGGTATAAAAACGACAAAAACATGATATGAAAACAACAAAAACATGATATGAAAACAAAAACATGATATAAAAACAACAGTGATGCAAACAATGACTGATAAAGTGATTAAACTTATTCTGATATCTCCCTGTATACCATATTAAGAGTGAAAACACTTTTAGAGTGCTTGACTAATTTCCCTTCTGATGAAGTATTTAGAACTTTAACTGTAAAATCACATGCTCTTCCAACTTGAGAGAAAGCAACATATAACTGACCATGTTCGAAATGGGTTCAGGTAGGAATATGCCTACTTTGTCTAGAGTTTGTTCTTGTGATTTATTAATAGTCGTCACAAATGCTGGCATCACGGGAAACAGTCATCCAATCAATTTAAATGGGAGGCCAGTGTCAGATGGGGACAAATTAATTCTTGGAATCAGAACAACCTCTCCCTCTGCAGATCCTGTTACTACTTCAGCTTCAATAATGTTAAGTCATAATCTTTTGATAATAAATCTGGTACCATTACAAAGACCCCATTTACTATTGATATTTCTCAATAGCATGATGATTGCACCCACTTTAATTTTAACTTATGACACGGCATTCCCGAAGGAGTAATACTATTCAGAAATTTGATGGGAAAATTTTTCTTTTCAGCATCATCTGTGGAATCAATGGACTCATCACTCAAATATGTGTGACAATCTCCATCGAGTATATACAAAATTTCTTCACTTAATTTTTGAACATGCTCATTTTTTGGACAAAGAATTGCACATTTAGATATATTTTTAATATTATCTATAGATATAGTATTTCCAAAGGTAGTTTCAATAATAGATCCGTTACAAATTATTTCACTTCCATGCTCCACTCCGAGGGCTGGTTCCTGCCTGAAATCTCGCCCTCCAGGAAACAGCTGGGGGAGGGCGCAGCCATTTCCAAAACGATCCCCTGCAGGTCGCGCTTCTGGCCGTGATGTTACACCCAGGGTTTTTATATAAGTAGATTTATTATCTTCTGTATGCCTAATTTCACTTAGCAAATGCTCTCAAGATCCATTTGCAAATGGAAACATGTTCTTCTAATCCTCATGGCAGAATACACACATACACACACACACATACACACACACACACAAGTCAAAAGTAGCTATGCAGTTGTGAGCATTCAAAATACAGTTTATTCCTATATGATTATTTATTGTTTCTTGTACTCACAACTGTAAATGTTTTTCCCACCCCTGTAGATATATCTCTCTCACATGATCTTTATCTCTTCATCTGTAGACAGGGTGTTTCCATATCTTGGCTATTGTGAATAATGCTGCAATGAGCATGGGAGTACAGATGTCTTTTCCAGATCCTGTTTTCATTGCCTTTCAATAGATTTCCATATGGATCATGTGAGTGTTATTTTTATTTTTTGATAACTCTCCATACTGTCTTCCACAGTGACTGCACCAATTTATATTCCCACCAATAGTGTATAAGGTTTCCCCTTTCTCCAAATCCTCACCTACACTTATAATATTTTATCTATACTAATAAAAGGGTAACATGAAAATTCACCATCACTCTGCAACAATGATGGCAGCGCCCTTAGTCACAAAGATGGTGGCGCTGGCCAGAGCCATGGAACCACTGGAGTGGGCAGGAGGCTTGGTTTACTTCATTGCCCCAGCGATGAAGGAAGCCAAGCGTCCTGCAAGCCCTGGCCAGCTGCAGAGGGCCTGCCTCTGGTCGGTGGCCACAGAGCCAGCTAGGGCGGGCGGGATGCTTAGCTTCCCTCAGGCTTGAGGGTTGGCTTCCTTTGTAGCCCCAGCCGGCTCCTTGGCTGCTGCCCAGACAAAGCCATAGTGTCAGGGCCGAGGCAGAGGCAGTTAGAAGCAATCAGGCCAGGAGGGGAGGGCAGTTGGTGGTGATCAGGTTGGTGGTGGGGACAGTTGGGGCTGAGCAGGCTGGTAGGCAGAGTGGTTAGGGGTGATCAGGCAGCAGGAAGGTGAGCTGTTAGGAGAAAGTGGTCCTTGATTGTGAGAAGGATGTCCTACTGCCTAAACTGGCAGTTGGACATTGCTGAAGGGGTCCCAGATTGGAGAGGATGCAGGCCAAACTGAGGGACACCCTCCACTCCCCCCTCTGCCCCCCCATGCATGAATTTCGTGCACCTGGCCACTAGTCTTTTACATAGTAGCCATTCTAACAGGTGTGAGGTGATATCTCATTGAGGTTTTGATTTGCATTTCCCTGATAATTTGTGATTTTTGGCACATTTTCTTGTTGGCCATTAATATGTCTTCTTAGTAAAAATGTCTATTCAGTTCCTCTGCCCATTTTTTAAAATTGGAGTGATTGGGGTTGTTATAGATTTATATGATTTCCCTATATATTTTGGATATAAACCACTTATTAGATATTTGGCTGACTCCCATTCTATAGATTGCCATTTCATTTTGTTGATTGATTCCTCTGCTGAGCAAAAGATTTTTACTTTGATGTAGTCCCATTTATTTGTTTTTGCTTTTGTTTCCTTGCTTTTGGTGTCAAATACAAACAATCATCACCACAATCAAAACCCCTTTTGTTTTCTTCTAGGAAATTTATGGTTTCAGGTCATATGCTGAAGTCTTAATCCATTTGGAGTTTATTTTTGTGTATGGTGTCTAGGAGTCCAATTTTATTCTTTTGCACTTGGGTATCCAGTTTTCCCAGCACCACTTATTGAAAAGAATATCCTTTTCCCATTGTATATTTTTGAGTCATTTGTTGTAAATTAGCTGACCATTTATTTATGGGGTCTCGGTTTTCTGATTATTATGTCTGTTTTTATGCCAATACCACAGTGTTTTGATTAGTATGGCTTTGTAATATAGTTTGAAATCAGGATATGTGATGCCTCCAGCTTTGTTATTCTGTCTTAAGATTGCTTTGGCTACTCAGGGACTTTTGTGTTTCTATAAAAATTTTAGAATTTTCTTTTTCTATTTCTGTGGAAATGCCATTGGAATTTTTTTTTGTTAAAAAGAACCTTTATTATACATTTATAGTAGCCCCTCATGTTCTCATGTTTTCTTGCCAGGTGCCTTGGGAGCAGCAGGTGCTTTCTGGGCTGGGGCTTTTGGACCCGTTTGAGCTTTTGGAGGCCCTGCCTTCTGGCCTGCAGGTTTCTGGGTGGGAACCTTCTGGGCTGGAGCCTGCTTGCCTGCAGTGGTCACCTTTTTTGCTGGAGCCTTTGCAGCAGCTGCTGCAACTGCAGTGGCACCTTTAGCAGCAGGTGCTTTTTGGGGAGAAGCTTTCAGAAGAGTTGCCTTTTGAAACTTCCTAACTTCAAGCTTGATTATTCGGTTCCTCATTTTCTTTGCCTTCATTACTTTGTAACGATCAAAATCTGTCATCTTGGCTTTCTTTTCTTTGGCTTCACTCTTCCTGGCCCATCTTGTGGCTGTCCATTTTGTATTGATATCTGCCTCCTCCCAGGCTTGTCGAACATACTTCAGGCGGGCACTGTGTGGGAACTTAAGGATGAAGTCAGTGAGCTGCATGCATTTGAAAGGCATAGCCTGTCTCCTTACTTGAGTGCAAAGTCCATCATCCAAAACCCTATTCTGATCGATAACATCTACGATCGCGACCAGCTTCCCGGCATGAGGCCCGAAGGAGACGTAGGCCACCCGGCCAACCTCCACGAAGCGCCTGAACACCATGTTGGCGGCGCTCGGCGAGAAGGAACGAGGCCCACCCAACCACGCGCATGCGTAAGAAACGCCATTGGAATTCTGTTAGAAATTTCATTGAATCTGTGGATCACTTCAAGCACTATGGACATTTGAAAAAGAATAATTCTTCCAGTCCCTAAGCACAAAATATATTTCCATGTATTTGTGTCTTCTTTAATTTCTTTCAACAGTGTCTTTTAGTTTCCAAGGTCTTTCAACTCTTGGTAAAATTTACCCTATACATTTTATTCTTTATGATGTTAAAGTAAATGGGATTTTTTTTCTTAATTATTCTTTCTTATAAATCATTATTAGCTTAAAAAATCAAACTTATTTTTTTATATTGATTTTGTATCCTGCAAATTTACTAAATTTGATTATTATTTCGCATGACTTTGTGTTGTTGTTTGTGAAGTCTTTAGGATTTTCTGCATATAAAATCATGTCATTTGCAAATAAAGACAAATTTACTTTTTCATTTCTGATTTGGATGCCCTTTTTCATGCATAATTGCTCTGGTTATGATTTCTAGTACTATCTATAATAATAAAAGCATAATGTGCTAATTAGACTGAACAGCTGAACAACCTTCCGGATGACCTTTTGGACAAAGCTGGGGCTGTGAGGGCTGAGCTTCTTCCATGAATTCCGTGCATAGAGCCTCTAGTCCTACATAATAAATAGGTAATATTCAAATTGACCATCACTCCAACACACAAGATGGCTGCCCCCATGTGGTCAAAGATGGTCACCCCCATGTGTTCAAAGATAGACACCACAAGATGGCTGGCAGGGGAGGGCAGTTGAGAGGGACCAGGCCTGAAGGGGAGAGCAGTTAGAGGTGACCAGGCCAGCAGGGAAGGGCAGTTTGGGGAGACAGGGCAAGCAAGGGAGGACAGTTAGGGGCAACTGGGCCAGTGGGGGAGCAGTTAGGCATTGATCAGGCTGGCAGGGGAGTGGTTAGAGGTGATCAGGCTGGCAGACAGAAGCAGTTAGGGGCAATCAGGCAGGCAGGCAGGTGAGCGGTTGGGAGCAGCAGTCCCAAATTGTGAGAGGGATGTCTGACTGCTCATTTAGGCCTGATCCCACTAAATGGGCAGTCAGGCATCCCTCGCGGGGTCCCAGATTGGAGAGGGTGCAGGCTGGGCTGAGGAACACCATTCTCCCATGCATGAATTTTGTGCACTGGGCCTCTAGTCAATATTCTATCTAATAATAGAGAAACATGGTAATTAGCCGTACCTCTGCTACCCTTCCCATTGGCTAATCAGGGTGATATGCAAATTAACTTCCAGCCAAGATGGCGGCCGGCAGCCAGGCAGCTTGAAGTGAACAGGAGGCTTGCTTGCTTCAGTGACGGAGGAAGCTAACGTTCCCTGCCTGCCTTGCTGGCCTCTGAGCTTGCAGTTTGAAACATTGTTACAAATATAGAAGCTAAACAAAACCCCAGAAACCTGCTTTCAGCCAGCTGGGATCTCAGAGCTGGAGTTGAAACAGTGTTTCGATTATAGAACCCAAACAAACCAGATACCTGCTTTCAGCAGCCAAGGCCTCAGAGCTGGAACCAAGCCTCAGAGCTAAAGCTGGCCCAGAATAAAAAAAAAAAAGAAAAAAAGGAGCAGTTGGGAGATTCAGTCACCCACCAGCCTGAAAACAGTCCTCAGCCCCTCACCCAGACTGGCCAGGCACCCCAGTGGGGATCCCCACCCTGAGGGTATGTGACCAGCTGCAAACAGCCATCATCCCCTCATCCAGGCTGGCCAGGCACCCCAGTGGGGACCCCCACCCTGATACAGGACACCCTTCAGGGCAAACCAACCTGCCCCCACCCGTGCACCAGGCCTCTATCCTATATAGTAAAAGGGTAATATGCCTCCCGGCACCAGGATCAGTGTGACAGGGGGCAGCGCCCAAACCCCCGATCGCCCTGCAGCTCTGTGTGTGACAGGGGGCGGGACCACAACCTCCCCATTGGCCCTGCAGTGAGTGTGACAGTGATGGCGCCCCAACCCCCTGATCTTCCCTGCTCTGTGTGTGACAGAGGACGGTGCCCCAACTCCCCTATCGGCCCTACTCTGTGAGTGAAAGGGGGTAGCTCCTCAACCCCCTGATCAGTCCTGCTCTGTGAGTGACAGGGGGAAGCTCCCCAACCCCCTGATGGGACCTGCTCTGTGCATGACAGGGAGGAACTCCTCAACCCCCTGATTGGCCCTGCTCTATGTGTGACAGGGTATGGAGCCCCAACCCCCCTGATGGGCCCTGCTCTGTGCATGACAGGGGGTGGCGCCGCAACCTCCCTATCGACCCTGCCTTGAGTGTGACAGTGGGCAGTGCCCCAATTCCCCAATTGGCCCTACCCTGAGCGTGACTAGGGGTGGCATCGCAACCTCCCGATCCGCCCTGCTCTGTGCATGACAGGGGGCGGCGTCCCAACTCCCCAATCGGCCCTGCTCTGAGCCCGACCAGGGGCTGCACCTAGGGATGGGCCTGCCCTCTGCCACCTGGGAGCAGGCCTAAGCCAGCAGGTCGTTATCTCCCTAGGGGTCCCAGACTGCGAGCGGGCACAGGCTGGGCTGAGGGACCCCCTCTTCCTCCTGAGTGCACAAATTTTTGTGCACTGGGCCTCTAGTATGTATATAAAAGACTCACCACCTGGCTGACCAGCCAATCAGCCAGTAGCTATGATGCACACTGACCACCAGGGGGCAAACGTTCAATGCAGGAGCTGCTGAGTAACATCAACTTTGCAGAGTGCCCTCTTGCACTCCAGGACCCCTCAGGGGATGTTGGACTTCTGGTTTCAGTCTGATCTCCACAGACCAGGCCAAGGGACCCCCACCTGCCAGAGGGATTCCGCTCACTTCACAGATGGCATCCCAGGTGCTGCCCGCCACAGAGGGACCTTGGGATCTTGGCTCCAGGGCATGTCTGGCCCTCCCTGCCGGCTACCTTCTAATTAATTTCCTTTCAATGTGCATGAATCCATGCACCAGGCCTCTAGTATTGAATAAAAGTGTTAAGAGTGGGCATACTTGCATTTTTTTCTGACCTTAAAGTAAAAGCTCTCAGCTTTTTACCTTGGGTATGATCTTAGCTGTGAGCTTATCAAATATGTCCTTAATTGTGTTGAGATACATTTCTTTTGTACCCAAGATTTTTTATCATGAAAGGATTTTGGATCTTGTCAAAGGTTTTTATTTATTGAGATAATCAAATGATTTTTATCTTTTATATTGTTAATATATTATATCACTTGGACTGACTTATGCATGTTGACCCATTCTTTATTTTAATGATATGGTTTGTTACACTAATTGATTTCTGAATGTTAAACCATTATTGCATTCCTGTAATGAATTCCACTGGGTCATGGTGTTTACTCCTTTTTATATATTGCTGGATTATTTTTGCCAGTACAGGCAGTCCTCAGGGTACATTGGACTTGATGTACCACATTTCCTGGTTACATCCATCATTTCAACCTAAGGCGTTTGCACGAAGTTACCCGGGGATCTAGTTGGTGAGCTGAGTAGATGAATATGCCATTTATAAGCCATTTTGGATTCTGCTTCATTCACTCTATTTCGTTTGTGTTGTTATTTTGGACATTTTTTGCCCTTCATTATGGCTCCTAAGCATAAGGCAGATTCTTCTGATGGCAGTGCTATGAAAAAAAGGAAAGCCATCACAATGGAAGTGAAAGTAAACATAATAAGACACTCAGAAAAGGGCAAAACACCAACCAACATCGGCCAGTTGCTTGGCCTAAGTCATACGACTGTCTCCACGATCATCGACTATAAAAAGCAGATCCTTTCACCCTTGAACATGTGAAAGGATCTGCTCCTTGAGATCAACTGTGATTACAAAGCAGCGTAGTGGTCTCATTATTGAGATGGGAAGATTTTTAGTGCTTTGGCTGGATGACCAGCATCAACGGCGTATCCCAGTGAGCCTGATGGTGATTCAGGAGCAGGCTAAAAGATTGTTTGAGGCCTTAAAAAAAGAAAAGGGGGAAGGGAGTAAAAGTGAGGAGTTTGTGGCTAGTAAAGGTTGGTTGATGCGTTTTAAGGTTCGTGCTAATTTGCATAATCTTAAAGTGCACGGGGAAGCTGCTAGCGGTGATGCGAAAGCAGCAGGTGATTTTCCTAGTGCGTTGGCTGAGATAATTAGGGAGGGGGGTTACTCTGATAAACAAGTGTTTAATGTGGACGAGACAGGCTTGTTCTGGAAGCCTCTGCCTACACGCAAATTGCCAAGGAGGAGAAGACAGCATCAGGCCATCAAGCCAGCAAGGAGAGACTGACTCTGCTGCTTGGGGCGAATGCTGCTGGTGACTTCAAGCTGAAGCCCTTGGTGTGTCTGGCCGAGAATCCAAGGGCACCCAAGTGCATATGGAAGGGTCAACTACCTGTCATCTGGAAATCTAACAAGAAGGCCTGGGTGACACTTAGCGTATTTGAGGACTGGTTCACCAACCATTTTGTGCCAGAAGTGAAGGACTACTGTGCTTCCAGGGGGCTGCCCTTTAAGGTGTTGCTAGTGCTGGGCAGTGCCCCTGGTCACCCTGCCGATCTGAATGACTTTCATCCAAATGTCAAGGTGGTTTACCTTCCACCTAACACCACCTCCCTTTTACAGCCTATGGACCAAGGTGTCATTGCCTCTTTCAAGGCCTACTACCTCCGAAGGACATTGGCTATGGCTTTTAGGGCAACTGAGGATAAAGAGTTGACTCTCAATGACTTTGGAAATCTTACAATGTTCTTGCTGCTGTAAAGAACATTTCTGATTCTTGGGATGAAGTTAAGCAGACGAACTTGAATGGTGTTTGGAAAAAATTGTGTCCCCAGTTTGTGAATGATTTCCATGGCTTTGAGGATTCAGTTGAGGTTGTCATCCAGAATGTTGTTGAGTTGAGTAAGCAGCTTGATTTGGAGGTGGAGGCTGAGGATGTCACAGAGCTGCTGGCATCTCATGGAGAGGAGCTATCTACCAAGGACCTCATTCAACTGAAACAGCAGTTAATTGAAGAGGAAGACACACCAACCCCAGAGCCCAAGAGATTTACAAGCAAGGAACTGGCAGGGGCCTTTGCCATGATAGAGGATGCCTTGGCAAGGTTTGAGGCTCAGGACCCCAACATTGACAGGTTCACTAAGGTTGCCAGAGGGGTCATGGGTAGCCTGCGGTGTTATAAGGAGATTTGGGAGGACAAGAAGAAGGTATCCTTCCAGACTAGCCTTGAACATTATTTTAAGAAGGTAGAGAGGCCTGCAACAGATCCTGTACCCTCTACCTCATACGCCTCTCCAGACTCACCTGACCCAGTATCTCCAGCACCTTCTCCAGGTTCTGCCTCTCCAGACCTTCTCCAGGTTCTCCCTCTCAAACCTCCTCCCCCCAGCAGCCCAGTGGAAGCCTGTCTCTCCCTCCTTTACAACGTCCAGTGTGCAAGCCAACAACAGTAATAAAGGTAAGGATAATACAGTATTTACCCTTGTATGTACATATGTGCTTTATGGTTTTTATTATTTATTTACCACAAGTAAAGGTCATCTTTCTTTTAAATTATTTTTACTGATTTACTTCATTACCACTGTGTGTGTGCTCCATGTGAGTGATGAAGATCCTTATGTAGGTGGCTTATGGTGAAAACTGTGTTACATCGCGCCATAAGAAGGGATCTCCGACATAACCCGAGGACCAACTGTATTTTGTTGAGGATTTTTGCATCCATATTTGTAGGAGATATTGATCTGAGGTTTTCCTTTATTGTGTTATCTTTTTATATTCTGGTATCAGGACAATACTGGCATTATAGAATAAATTAGAATGTGCTTTTTCTCATCTATTTTTTGGAAGAGTTTGTGAAGAATTGGTATTAATACTTCTAAAATGTTGGATAGAATCTGGGCTTGAGGTTTTATTTGTAGGTAATGTTTTATATTAGAAATCTAATCCCTTTATATATTACTAGAGGCCTGGTGCACGAAATCCATGCACAGGGGGGTGGGGCCCTCAGCCTGGCCTGCACCCTCTCCAATCTGGGACATCTTGGGGGATGTTCAACTACAGGGATCGGGTCTAAATCAGCAGTTGGACATCCCTCTCACAATCCAGGACCACTGGCTCCTAACTGTTCACCTGCCTGCCTGCCTAATCACCCCTAACCCCTCTGCCTGCCTGCCTGATCACCCCTAACCATTCTTCCTGCCTGTCTGTTTACCCCTAACCAATCTGCCTGCCTGCCTGACCCCCCTTAATCACGTCTGCCTGCCTGTCTGATCACCCCTAACCTTTCTCCCCTGACAACCTGATCGCCCCTAACTGCTCTCCCCTGCCAGTCTGATTGCTCCTAACCACTCTCCCCTGCTGCTCACCCCTAACTGCTCTCCCCTGCCAGCCAGATTGCCCCTAACAGCCTCTGCCTCCATGACTTTTGTCTGGAAGGACATCTGGAAGACATCTGGTCTATCCAGTCTAATTAGCATATTGCCCTTTTATTAGTATAGATAGATCTATTTAGTTGTCCAATTTTTCTTTGAGTTAGTTTTCATAGTTTATGAATTTTTCCATTTTATCTATGCTATCTAATTTGGAAAGCATAAAATTGTTTATAATGTATACTTATAGTTGTTTTATTTCCAGAAGCTTAGTAATAATGTCCCTTTTTCATTGCTGATTTTACTAATTCTCTATATGCTTTTGGTCAAACTAGCTAAATATTTGTCAATTTTTTGATATTTTTAAAGAAACAAGCTTTGGTTTTGTTGGTTTTCTGTATTGTTTTTCTATTTTCTAGTTCATTAATTTCCACTTGTACTGTTTATTGTATTTTTCTTGTTAGTGCTTTAGGTTTTGTTTGTTGCCTTAATCATTGCCTTAATGGGAAATATTAGGATTAGGTTTGAGATCTTTCTTCTTGGTTTAATATCAATAGCTATGTGTATATTTCCAGATATAAAATTTCCTCTAAGTATTGCTTTGGCTACACCCCATGAGTTTTGCTATGTTGTTTTTTTCATTTCTATTCATCTCAAAGTATTTATAATTTCCCTTTTTATATCATCTTTCATTCATTGGTAATTTAGAATTGTGTTGTTTAATATTGTTTTTTCCCTAGATGGGGTATTCAGCTATTTGAGCATAGGCCTGAGCACTGGAGGGTCATGGGTTTGACTCGCAGTCATTGACATGTAACTGGGTTGCAGGTCGAATCCATGGACCACGGTCAGAATGGGTGTGGGATGCAACCAATCGATGTGTCTCTTTTACCTCTCTCTCTCTCTCTCTCTCTCTCTCTCTCTCTCTCTCTCTCTCTCTTCTCTTTCCCTCCCTCCCTCCCTCCCTCCCTTCTTCCTTTTCACTCTCTAAAAATCAATGGGAAAAATATCCTTAGGTGAGGATTAAAAAACACACACATAGTTCTTTTTCTCAAGTGTTTTTTCTGTTATTGATTGTTAATTTTCCTTCATTGTGGCTGGAAATAATACTCTGCATGGTTTCAAGCCTCTTAAATTTATTGAGGCTTATTTTATGGCCTCACACATGGTTTGTTTAGGAGAATGTTCTTTGTGCATTGCAGAGAATATGTATTCTGGTGTTTTTGGGTGGAGTGAATAGTGTTAGATCTATTTGGTCACCACATCTCATCTTTGTTGACCTTCTGATTAGTCCTTCTATGCATTATCCAAAATTATGGGAAGTTGAAATATGCAACTATTATTACTGAAGTGTCTATTTCCACTTGACTTCTGTTATTTTTACACCAGTCATTGTTTCTTTCTTTTGCTCGTTCAAACCTACCTTTGAGTCTCTCTAGTAAAAATTACATTTCAGCTATAATTTCAACTCCAGAATTTACATTTTTTTCTTAAAAAATAATCCCTATCTTTCTTGACAATATTTATTTGATGAGATATTTTCATCATAGCTTCTTTTATTTTCTAAGAATTATTTCCCTCAGTTCTTTAAACATACTTCAAACTGCTGCTTTTAAGCACTGTTTTCAAATCCAATATGTTGGCCTTGTCACAGAGAGTTACTGCTGCCTGAGTTGTTTTCACTACATAGGTCACAATTTCCTGTTTCTTTGTATGTCTTGCAGTTTTGTTAAAAACTGGGTGTTTTAAGTAATGTAGTGCAGTGCTCTGCACAGTGATTTACCTTCTGCATTTCTAGGGCTCAAGTTGCTGTTGTTTGCATGTTTGTTTAGTGACATGGCTGGACTCTTCTGGGGAAGTCTATGTCCCCTGCAGTGTGAAACCTCTGATGATGCTCCTCAGAAGGTGCAGCCTTGGGATGTCACGTGGGATGACAATAGTCTTAGCAGTCCTCTCCTTGTTTGCCTCTTTCCTGACTCTCTCTGTTAAGCTCTGTGTCTCCATTTGTATTGTACCCAGCTGTTAGGTCTACCAATTGCCAGCTGATTGCTCTCCTGTTATTTACAATATCTCTGGGCATAAATTGCTCCACAGTCTGATATAAATAAAATTGGTTTCCTTTGCAGGCTGGTTTTTGGGGTCAGACTTTTAGGTTTTGTCTGATCCTGGAATGACCCTTTGTACATGTCTCTTTTCCTGGTTCTCTCTTGTACATTGCTGACCTATGGTTCCCCTTGAAACTCTTACAGGATTACCAGACTCCTGTAAACTACTTACCAATAAATTTTCACCGTTTTCAAAAGTGCCCTTTGAACTTCCCACACTCTGCTTCAAATAAAGTTACTTCTTTTGAGGAGAGCTTTGGAGTTCTCTGTAATTATAGACTTCTTTCCCTCCTGTTCAAAAGTGCTGAACCATCGCCCTGGGCTGTAAGCTGGGATTGTAGTCTCCGGTCTTCACAACCTGCCTCTCCCAGCATGGACCCTCCATTATATGAGGGAGCTGGAGTGTGGGCCGCTGCGCTTCAGTATTCTTAGCCTGTTGTGCCTGGGATAGAGTCTCTGTGCTATGACTAGAGAAGCAGGAAGGTGCTGCTGGCTGTGCTCGCCAGTTTAGTTCTGCAAATCAGAGTTAAAGGGCATCATGGGAAATGCTGCCAGCCTGCCCCTGTTGGTAAGGCAGCATGTACTTGATGGTTAACTGAGGGGAACAGGAACCCCATCTTCTTTATCACACTTGCCCAGAATGGAGTTTCCCTTAAGCTAAGCTGAAGGTCAGTGGGGGAGGGAGGAAGGAAGTCATGGGTTAAGGACCACACAGATTCTCACTCTTGTTACTAAAATTTGGTATATTGTAAAAAATTAAAATTTCTTCATTTGCTATATGACCTTTTAGAGACATTAATTGTTAAAAACGTCACCAGATGTGGTTGTTCCACCAGCAATAATTCTGCAGGGCCCCTCACGATGATGTCTGCAAGTGAAAACCTGGTCAGTAATTTTAGATTAAATGGTGGCTACCGTGCTAACTCCCCTCATCATTTCCTTCCTGCTGAGGGCATGGATTTTGCATAGTTTAGTTTTCCCTTTTTGTGGTTGTTCATTGGGGTTCAATGAAGTATTGCTAAATGGGGCCTTGATGACAGCTCCCTAGCCTTCCAGGTTGCTATGTTTATCTGGAGTCCTTCGCTTTCCTATCAATGCAGATGTGTTATATTTGCAGACGACAGGAGAAATGCTGGTGTCTCCGTATATTTCCAGATAGCCATTTATGGTCTTTCACAGCTCCGAAACTAGTCCCCTAATTCTAATTTTAAGTGATATTTCCAAGTGATATTTTTTTCAAGAAATATTGCAAAAAGAATGAGGGTGAATTAGCTGTTTATTCACAAGTTAAGCTTTGAGAATGTCATTGTTAGAATTTGAAAGATGGCAGCATCCATGAGCACCGGTTCAATTCAGAGTAGAATTTATTTTGTTTGGCTCATGTCACAGTCAAAGTGCTAAGTGTTGTGCCTTCTCTGGAGAAGGAACAGGTGAGGGTTTGGAGACTCACAGGAGAACTCCCCCATTTCATCCTCAGGCCAGCACCAGCCTAGGTGGGTTCTGAATTGATACTGAACACTGTTCAGGGCGATCTCCATGATGAGGTTTGTTCTCCTCTCACCCCTCTGAACACTTAAGCAGGTACAAATAAGGAATGTGGGCCCTGTAACCTAGCCTTTCTAGTCTGTGCTGTGACCAAAACTTTAAGTGATGAGTTAAACAGAGCAAGGAGGATGTGAGGTTGGAAAGTGCTGTGGTTGAGGCAGGGTGCATGCTTTCCTGTACACAAGTGAATTTACAATAACATCTTATAGCTCATTTCTTGGAAATAGAGAGGACTATGAGAAACAATAAATAATTTTGTGTTGTGTTACACTCGGATACACATTAAAATTGCACTTTTTGTCCCTTGGTAAAGATAAACTTACAGCTTTTATCAGTAGTAATAAAGCACCTAAGGACATATGTTTATGAGAGAACTGCAGTGAAGGAAAAAAAAGATGTCAAACTAAATACAAAAGTAAGAATTTCAGATAACGGAAGAAATTGTGCAAACCAAACTGAAAATCTCAGAAAAGAGGCAAGTGACTGAATGCTAGCAGATGGATCCAGTAGAATCTGATTTATTTCCTGGTTTCTGTTCTAAGGAGCCTCTTCGGCCCCAAGGTCAAGGGCTAAGAATTCAGGGTTGTGCTAACAAATGAATGGGTTTTGGAGGAAGGGGACTAAAAAGGCCTGGCAGGTGAGTAAGGAAGGGAGTGGAGGGTGTACTGAGACTGGCAGGGACTGTGGGAGAGGCACACTTGCTTCCCTGCTTCCTGCCTTCCTGGCTGTTGGTGCCACATGGTAATGGGCCTGGGATCTGTCACTGTCTGTAACTATACATGACTCTGATGACCCCAGGCACTCAAAGCATGGGAGCAGAGGCCCGCAGTGACATTGCTCCTTCACACAGACCCTCAAGCCAAGAGTCCCAGGACTGGTCCCTCCAAGTGGTCTACCATGAAGAAGCCTATTCACTGTCACAGGTTGATCACTATAATCAACCAACATCTGAGAGGAAGTGTGGGTAAACAGCCAACGCTCAGGATTCAAACCAGTGGGAGAGTCTGGGGACTTCTTCTCTAGAAACAAGGCCCAGATATTGGTGTAAAATGTAAACCCTGGGCGGCGGCGGGGGGGAGGGGGTAAGGGGGCGAGGGTCGGTCATCAGACTTACATGATCTGATCTTCCCCTCTCTTCTCATCTATAGAGATACCAGGGCTCAGAGGGGTTATGTTTTGTCCAAAGCCATAGACTCAATAGTGCAGATCAGAAGCACATATCTTTCCTGCCTGCATTTCATGTGTTAATGGCAGAAACCAATGCTGATGTGCTAATGTAATAGTCTACTCTGAACCTCATGGAACAAAGAAAGTGTCACTGGGACAACAGAAGGGACACATTTTCAGACATGTTATCCATCCTATGCTGCAGCAGAGGCTGCTGGCTTAGATATATTTAAATGCATGAAAACTCATTTTGTATTATTTTGCAAGCGATAATGCCCTCCTTAATTTTTTAGGTAAAATTATTATTCTTTTTTTGAATTAAATTTATTGGGGTGGGGGAGAACCAAGGTGGCATCATAGCTAAACACCTATACTTGTTGCCTCTCACAACTACATCAAAATTACAACTAAAAGGCAGAACAACTACCACCCAGAACTGCAGGAAAGCTGGCTGAGTGGAAGTTCCACAACTAGAGAGGTGAAGAAACCGCGTTGACACTGTTAAGAGGTGCGGAACGTGCTGCACCTGGATGTGCTGCTCTTTTAATTGGGATGGAGATACAAGCTCCCGCTTGCTCTGAACTCCAGTTCTTGGTGAGACTCTGGGGGACTCAGACACATATGGGGAGAAACTGGACTGTTTGGCATCAGGACAGGAACGTGAGGTGGCTTTCTCTCAGAGGTGCTCGCAGCGATCATTGTTCCTGCATGGGTGCACGGGACGCGGATACATGGGGACCTCTCTGGTGCAGGATGGCTGGCAGCCATTGCTGTTTCCTCTGCCCTGGTGATTCCCAGAGACCCCATCTCACCCAATTTACAACCGCACCCAAGCTGTGTGCATCGGCTTTTGCAAATGAATGGCCTGTCCTTTCTCTGCCTAAAACCTGTCAAACTGCAGCTGGGTCAGAGAGCCCCAGAGCTTCCAAAAGAAGGCCCAAGAC